AATCAAAATTGCATTGCTAACTCTAAATTTAAGTGACTATTTTGTTACTGGCTTTAACACTAAACTCTTGATGGTTATCTACTATTTGGAAGGCTGCCCTGACATCAAAGTAAGTGAATTGTGATTTATTAAAAAGCTTTGGCTCTGATTAGATTTAAGGAAAAGTTTTATTTTGCTTTAATGCACTATGATATATTCACTATCAGCCTCCCCAAGTGATCCAGTTACATTAGTTCAAAGCTAGAATGTGCGAGTGCATCAACTCAGCTTCACAAGTTATCAACCTGAGGTCCTAATTCCATCCAGTCTTAGCCTGGAAGACTTAAAATTAAAGATTACGTAGAATTATAGAAAATTCTTAAATTTATTCTTAGTTTAGAAACTGGTTCTTTAAGATTAGCAAAAAAAAGCTTTAAAATTAAGACAAAACTTACCACATTTCTGTAAGATCCAACATTTTAAGAAAAAAAGTTTTATGTGCTAAGACTGGGTGGAATTTCAACAACTTCACAGCTTGGGGTGTGTCAGCCTGGCTCAGTTGGTAGCACTCTAACCTCAGAGTCAGAAGGTTATGGATTCAAAGCCCCACGCCGTGACTTGAAACTCATTTATTCTATGTTGATACTCCAATATAGTGTTGGGAGTGTGATAAATTGTTGGAGATGCCATCCTTCGGATGGGATGTTAATCCAAGGTCCCGTCGGCCTTTTCAAGTGGATGTTAAAGATCCCATGGCACAATTTGAAAATAGAAGGAAGTTTCTCCTGGTGTCCTGGCCAACAATTCCCCCACATAAATTTGGTCATTCATTTCATGATTGTTTGTGGGACATTGCTCTGTGCAATTGAGCTGCCATGCTTGCCTATAAATACACTACCCTTTACAGTATGTCTTGTGAATCACTTTGAGACTGCTGCCTGATATGAATGGTGCTGTACCACATGTAAGGATTATTATTATTATTGGGCTTATAAATGTAAAATTCTTTTACAAGTTCACATTGTAAATTTGCCAATTAAAAAGCCTCTTGGATTTTTAATTATATTTTTATGTACTATTTTTAACATCCCTGAAGAAGGCACACAGAGTCAAAAAATGCATGGGGGTGAGGGGGCGATCAAGATTCCCAACAAAATCAAGAATATAGACGAGCAAAGACCATTTTCCAGCTGGCATTATGTGACGACGGAATCAGCCTTGAAGGAGGAATAGGGATGCATATGTGGATCTTTCAGTGTAATTTGGAATCTCTTCAGCCTGTTGATGGATTGCCACAAGTCAGATACCCAGCTGACCAAAAAAAATTCGTAAGTTTTAAACATCACACATTGTGTGCCAGCCTGGTTCAGTAGGTATCACTCTCACCTTTGAGTCAGAAGGTTCAAGCCCCATGTTAAGAACTTATGTTGTCCAGACGCTCCTGCACAGTGCTGGGGTGACTACATCGTTGTGGAGGTGCCATCCTTCTTACCTTAAACTGAGGTGCGTCCACCCCACCCACACCCAAATGGAATTATTTGGCCAAATAATGTATGAGTTCTGCCAATTTAACATTAGGATTGTTGTGTAGTGTGACACAACCCTTTCTTGATACATAACAAAGATGCATTGAAAAGAGTTGGGAATCAATACAGTGTTTGAATACAATTGTTGTACTGATTACATAACTTTAATCCAGTACCTGAGAGACTCGTCAGCCTTAATACAAACCAACACCCATTCTGAATTACTTAAACTTTTGGAAAGATGCCAATTTTTTTTCCAAATCATTCCTTATCAAACTGCACCACTAAATGAAGACAAAACTTGATTTTCAAACACATTAAAAAAACTACTTTACTTACAGAAAACATAAAAGTAAATACAAAAGCAGTATTAAATTATCTTTACATTGAAACAATTATACAACCAGTGTAAAATCAAAGCTGGTGCTGTACTTAGCTGGGCCCCCTTGAATTTTACTAAACAATAATCCTAAAACCTGACATAGATGCAAGCAATATTTCCCAGCACAGCTATTACCTTTTGCTTTCAATGTGCATTTTGTTCATGTTTCTACCACTAATTTCTAAATACAAAGGTGAAGTTTGGAGAAAGTTTTCACACGGAGTGTTGTTAGAATACATGAGGGGGAAGAGAACAGAGTATGTGAGGGGAATTGGAGAAGTGGGGGCTCATTTGAAGTATAACACTAGTACTGATGAGATCGTTTTTGATGAAGAAAGCTCTAGCCCATCTGATTTCATTCCTCCTGAACATCCACTCTACCATCTCCCCATCACAGCATCAAGCTGCTTTTTAAATGAGTCCAGTGTCCTGTCTTCTTGGGTGAGGGGGAGGGGCGATTATATCCATATTCATGAATGTTGATTTGATTGAACACCAGTAATATTTCTATCATCACACTGTTTAGCTTCTCTGCAGCTTTTGACCATCTCAGGTCAATTTGGTAGAGGTTGGGTACAAATATGCTGTAAGCAAGAGATAAACCTCACATTAGAATCTCAGAAGCATTGTTAGAAAAAGTTCATTAAATTATGATACTCAGAGAAAGCTGTATTTTTTTTCTCAATTCAGTAGCCTTATATTCTTCATTTTTCTAATGCTAAACCATGCCTTAACCATCTTGTTGATGTAAGCCCTAAAGTTTACCTCCCTCAGCTCCCTCCCTCAGCTCCCAACCCCAGCTTGGGTGCAAACCTCGGACTGTACAATGCTACTCCAATGCCCTCCTCGACAGTCTCCTCAGCTCCACTACCCATAAACTACAACTGATTCAGAACTCCTCTGCTCATATTCTCACCTACACTAAACTCGGTACCCCCAATACATCAGTCCTTGTCAGGCTCCACTAGCTCCCTATTACAGAATGGATCGATTTCAAGATCCTCACAATCGTCTACAAATCCTTTCATGCTCTGGCAAGTTGGCAAGAGCCAAGGCATGTGGACCCAGAGCATTGCTGGAGTTTAATCAGGTAAAACAGTGTAGCTTGCCATGGCAAATACAATCCCGCAAGGTTCTTGCTGCTTGTCCAACTAGGACTGTCCTATCTTTTAGGGTTTTGGCCGACAGGGTTTACAACAGCTAAGTGGGAAGAATCTCTTCCTCATTGACTGGTAGAAAGTTCTCCAGGTCCTACTGATGTCAACAGGAATGCTCTAGAGTACTGCACACCTGCCTTGTTCATGAACTGGACAACTGAAACTGCCATAAAGGGTTAACTCACTTCTGACACATTATTGCTAGTCGTAATACCTTGAAGCCAACTCAGCTCCAAGGAGACCATGCTTGCCACCTCTTGCCCCCTCAGGAGGATAGATACCCCATGTAATAAATCTCCTGTTCACAAGAACAAGGGTACTCAGGAACCTTCACCAACCTCTCAATATTAGGCACAAACCATTCCTTCAACTGATTTTGTAGGAGTTGCTATTTGTGCCAGTAAGGTCCTATAAATTCAATCAATCACTCCACTTCGCCCCCTCCTTAGCCTCCTTCAAGTCCGGCCTAAAAACCCTCCTCTTCGACCATGCCACCCCATTTCCACTCTCCTCCTTCTCCCCATCTGACCCCAGCTCGGGTCTGAAATGTTGTATACTGTCCAGTGCTATAATTTTAATTCTAGTGCTATAAATTATAATATTAATCCTTGTCTTTGATAACGCACTTTTCATGTCATCGAGACATCTCACAGTTGTTCACCAGATATACTGCAAAGTGGATTAACTGTGTCTTTTCACAAGATTGGTTTTGATGAAGAAAGCTCTTCAGCCCATCAGATCTCATCCTTCCAGAATACCCACCCTATAGTCCTCCCATCACAGCATCAAGCTGTTTTTTTTTAAATGAGTCCAGTGTCCTGGCCTCCACCAACTTTCTCTGGCAAAGTTTCGGATTGTGAGATTCCAGGGAGCTTCACAAACAGTGAATCTCAACAAAATAGTGTTGGGTTATTTTGTTAGTTTGTTTTTGTTTTAGTTTTGTACTGGCCAGATGTCACTATTCATTTTTTATATATTTTTATGAAAATAGATTTGGCTTCCTCTTTCATCCTATCATTCTGTGTGGTATCATTGGCACTGTCAAAGACTATTATGGTAATGTGGCACACGACCATGTAAAATCCAGTAAGTTTAACAACTAGTACAAGGTAATAGTTAACCTTTCTGACACACACCAGCCAAGGACAATTAATGCAGGTTCCAAGAAATGCAGCTTCCAAGCAACGAGATGGACACAGATTCCGATTATAGGAAACTGTTGTTGGATTATTACCAGGGGAGGTGGTACTGAAAAGCCCAAAGACGTCCAAGAAAATCCCAATAAATAATAATCCTTGCATTTGATATAGAACCGTATCACATCTTCGAGAGTCTCAAAGCGCTTCACAGAATATACTGCAAAGTGAATTGACTGAATTAAATAACATAAACATTTTTAAAATCTAAAAGAAAATAGTCGTATTTACTGAAGCGATTCAGTTGTAGGGGCATGACATATAAAAGTATTCCAAAGTAGCCAAATTAAGCTGTGGTAAGGTTCGCAAGGTCACCATTCATTGAACTCCAGGTTTAATGTTGTGATTCAGCAAAGTAGGCATTTCGAAAATAATTTTAAATTAAGTTCTGCCAGTAAAACTTTCAGCCAATAGCAGAAAGACCAGTCAGCATTCAGACATTGCAACAAAAGTGATTTGAATTACCTAGCATTTTGAAATGGTGCCAATATTTCGAAATCATTCAGAATCCCTGTTTAAACTTGCAAAAAGATAGCAAGAAACCTGATTTTTACTTTGGAAACTGTGGATTTCAAAACTGCGAATTTAAAAAGCTCTCAAATGAACAGATCTACTTCGTGAACTGAAAAGTAATAGATTAAATAAAGTCCACTCTTCCTGGATTTTCAAGAAAGGGGGGGGTGGGGGGTGGATGATCCAGTGGTGATGGCCAATGGGGTGGAGCACATCAGGTATATAATTGGGGAACTTCAACCCAGTCAATCACAGCAAGTGCACAACAACAAGGAGGCTTGGAGTCAGTAACCTGGAGCAGGTAAACAGGAGAGTTCAGCTCTGGGGATTTCAGCTTTAGCCATTTGAACTTTTGTGTTTCAAATTAACCTTTCCAAAAAAAAAAAAAATTTTTTTTTTTAAAAAAAATTCTGATTTCAATTTTAAAGCGAAGTAACAGGTCTGAGCATCTATTTGACCTGGTGATCACTGTGTACATTGTGATAGCTTTCTCCCCCCCCCACCCCCACCCCCTGTGCTCTCTCTCTCTCTCTAGTGATCTACCTGAAGTTGAATCTCAGCAGCATGGCCCGGGTCTCTCTGCTGCTGCTGGTGCTGTTGGCCGCTGTCTCTGGCTGTGCGGCCAGAGGTTCCGCAAACCCTGGCTCCAAGAGTGGAGGGGGATCCAAGAGCGGGGGGGCTGCGAAGGACGAGAAGAAGTGTCCTCCGAGTCTATCCAGGGGTAAGGAGCTCCGATTCCCATTGCAACACCTGCAATTTTGCCCCATCCGTCCTGCACTTCAAACAGCAGCACTCGCCTTTTGCCCTTTGTTGAACTCGCTCCTGTCTGCCATCACTGTAACATTTGCTGCTGGGTTTCCCTGTAGGATGGGCTGACGAAGTGAATTGGGTTCAGACCTACGAAGAAGGTCTGCACAAAGCCAGAAAGAGGTAATGTCATTTGTTTGTTTTTTTTGTTTTTTTTTTGTTTTTTTTTAATTCCCCCCCAAAGGCGCTCTCTAGCGCCCACCTGTACCTGTTCTGCACCTGTTAGTCTCTTGCTGTGAACTTACAGGTGTGTTTCTCTCTCTCTCTCTCTCTCTCTCTGGGTGTATATTGTTAGACATTTTGGTAAACGACTTCAAGAGTGATATGTTCCAATGAGTCAAATGCACCTGAAAATGGGGGGGAATTGGAAGAATGCAGGAAATAGTGCGAAAAGTAGGATCCCAGCAATGCAGGGGGTTGGGGGGAATGCAAAAGAAAGATATGATCCATTTGCACAGGGGGGAGGTGTTAATAGAGCGATGGTGACAAGGAGGGGGAAAAAAACCCAGAGAGATTCAGATTTTTTTTTTAAAAAAAGGATAGATGCAAAGGATAAGATTTTCAGAAACATGTCAGGATGCTAGGTGTGAAATTGGCACAGCCAGCAGTGATTTATTTTGTTGTGCTTGGCTTTTTTTTTGGATCTAACATTGCTGGAAGTTGTGCCACAGAGTGGTAAACTGTAGGTGTGCAATGTAGCCAAGAGCCATTTGTATAAAGTTTGAGGGAGGTTGGGGTTTGATGAGTGGCAAAGGTGGGAACATGCTTTCTGCTGTCTCAGAAGGACTGGATACATTTGGAATATATTCCCTGAGCCTGAGGCGGTTCAGGTATTTTTTTTTAAAAAAAGTAAAATAAATAATGAAAGGAATTTAGAAGGTGAGGAAAGAAGGGCTCTTCCCTCTGGTAAGGAATACTTTCAAAGTGAAATGTAAATAGAAACCAGTATTTTGTACATGTTTTTCTCCCACTTAAAGTGTTAGGAGAATGTAGAAGTGTATTACCCCTACAAGCTATATATGCAGAATTAGTCAAAATGTTTAAAAGTGAAGTAGTAACATACTTGAAGTGTAAGGGCATTTAAAAAAAAACACAATTTGCCTGCCCATCCTGAGCTGGGGAGCTTGTACAGCCAGAGGCATATTACAGAAAATGGGGAAGTGATAAATTTGCATGAAACTTTTACAATGAACCGAAAGCTTCACATTGTGAGATAATTGTTTACCAATTCTGCCATTCATCTCTTTGTGCATTAACTCCTCTCCACATTGAATTATGCGTAAATATATATTTTATAGGATTTAAAAATAAGAGGCTTAAGATTCAGAGTAGCGCAGGTGTTATATGTATGAATGGATGATTCCACATTAGCTCTTGTTGATAGTGGGTGAAAGACTGGGTGATCTATCTGATTAGAAATCATTCTGGTACCCACCTTTGGCTACATCATATCTTGCGATAGACATTCCTGCTTTTACTTCAGCTCAATAACACCTTGACGACTTAGAGCACAGTTTAAGTCCATCTGTTGCACTCAACCTGTCTAGTAATCCATTGTCTTCAATTCTCATACTTTTTACATGTGTTTACTTTCCTTCAACTTTTTTTTTAGTTTGTGTGTCCCAATTATTTCGCTAATTTTCTGGGTTGTGATTCCAAACACTATTTTCAAGAAGCATCATGCTCTGTCAATAAACTTGTGAATGACATGGGGAAACGTGTCCGAGAGATACAATACATGTGAAGGATAACCCCAAAACTCTGAGAGTGAGCTCTTATGCAGTGTAACCTGTATGTTAACTAGGTCATTGCCATGCAGTCTAATCATAGCCAAACCTCTACAGTGTCTCCAACTTGGGAGCTAGAATCTGTTCCTAATTTCTGTATTAGTAGGGTTAGCAACAATATATCATTTTAAAATAAATCTTGTCTAGAATTAGCAGAAATTTGCCTGTAGAAATTGTTAATGTAAATGTTTGCTTTTATTACTGTAACGTGAGGCATTCCATCCATAAGAAAACCTTGACTCCAACACACTCTTTGATGCTTCTATAATTGTGCATTGCCGTTGGTAACATAGTGAATCAATCATAGCTAATTTTACACACTGTTATTGGATTTGGTCCTGTTAATGAAATGATTCTCCTGATTTATATACTGTCAAGTTAATTCAAGGGGGACTGTCTGATGCACTGAATCAACACCGTAGCCTTTCGCCTCTTGGTCTTGTTTTGATCCAGTTTGAACAGATGGGAAAAGATTTCATCTGGGTCCTTTTTTGTTTTAGTATGAAACACACTTTGGAAGTTTAATCCAATCTCTAATAGAAAACTACCTATAATATGGTGCTAAATTGCCTCACAAGCCATAAGGGTGGCTAGCATGGGAAATGGAAATAATACGCTAGAACAACAAAGATATGTATTGAAGTTGAACTGGAATAGAGGAAGCAAATGTATGAAGTGGAGAGAAGAATTGTTTACCAACTCTGCTATTCATCTCTTTATGCATTAAATCCTCCCCAGATTGAATTATGCATAATATATATTTTATAGGATTCAAATGTGAATTCATCAGCTATTTAGTTTATTTGCTTGTGTGTGGCGTTCAGTAATCATTTTGCTTTAAAAAATTTTTACAACTTAGCAACCGGCCTTTGATGGTGATCCACCATTTGGAAGACTGCCCTTACAGCCAAGGTAAGTGATATCTTCCAAAAGAAAACAAGCAAATTCTGCACACTTTATGGTTAAAACAAGTAATTGAACATTTTACTTTATTCCAGTATGAAATGTTTATTATAACTTTATTCAGGATGGCTGAATTTGTGTTATTCCTTTAATAAAACTTCTTTCTTTTTTATAATAGCTCTTAAGAAGTCATTTGCTGAGAACACAGAAATTCAGAAGATGGCACGTGAAGATTTTGTCATGCTTAATCTTCAGGTAAATGAGAAAAGCAGATCCTTAGTCCCACTTTATTAAGATGGCTTTTATATATCCCAAATAGCTTTTCAAAAAGCAAACAGATTAATATTTGAAAGGATTATCCGGCTAATAATATTCCTCCAGGGTGCTTTTTATTTTCATAGCTTAATCTTATTCCCATTTTGTGATCTCTGCAAGCACAAGTATGTGTTAATACAGTTCGATCCAAAATTAAATTTATTGCATAAATTCATTGCACAAAGTTAATGTTTCAAATGAAGTGCTCGGGGGCTCCCAGAAAACACTAGATCGAGCAAAAGTTCCATTTCAGCAATCACAGCACTCATCTCCGTGACCGCAATCTTCCCCACAATCCTTACTTACTAAAACATAATTGTCTTTAAATTATAAGATTGTAATCTCCTTGAATTGGGAGTCCATCAGTTGGTTTAAATGAAATTATAATGTGTTGGATTTGAAATACCCAGGGGTGCCTCAGAAATTCCCCTCTTTACCCTTTCTCCCCAAACAGTAATGAAGCCAATCCATATTTGTTTAATTGTAGTGTGAGGCTAAGGCAGCTTGTTGATGGTTTAACTTTTAAAATCATGATTATATTAATAATACTTGCATTTGATATAACAACTTTCATATCAGAAGGATGTTCAGAAGTGCACATCAAAGCACTTTACAGGATTTACTGTAAAGTGTAATGATTGTGTATTTTGTAGGTGAATGAGGCAGCTAAGTTTGCATATACCAATGACCCACAAACATCCATGAAGTGAATGACCAATTTTTATCTGGGGATACACAGGTGAAAATGTTACCCCAATGGAATAGATAAAGAATGACTTGTTGAAAGGTCTATGGGTTCTACTTACAGTTCCAAATGGGTTTGTTCTCGCAGCAAAACTGCTGAAAATTTGTATATGAATTGACGATCCAGTTTATAGTATACCTAGTGTGAAAATTACCAATATCTCCTTGACCCACTAGGGGGTGCAATTCTAATGTTGGGATTAAAACATTTCAATGGAGAAGGGTTGAGAGTTCTTCATTCTGAATTGGTGCTTGACCTTAGCTGGAATTCCTTGACACTTACCAAAAATAGGCCAAGTACATCACCAACAATTACACAATCAGAACGGCTTCTAACCTGTTTTATTTTTCATTGAATCACTTGAATTATCAATTAGTATAACTGTATCCAAGTCTTTGAGCTTTTTTTTGATTAAAATGTATTTTTATTACAGTTTGAAACAGAGGACAAAAACCTGTGGCCTGATGGTCAGTACGTTCCCAGGATACTTTTTGTAGGTAAGGATTGTAAATCTATGTTGGTCATCTGGAATATTACCTGAGGTTTTTATTATATCCATTTGATAGATAAAATAAATTGCGGTGACTATGGATCCATTTTTCTCATCAGAAGCAGCTTCTCTATGAACAAGAGCCTGATGACGATTAGCACACAGATTTTAGCAGAATACCCACAAAGGAGAGAGATAAAACACCATGCAGGTGTTAGTTAGTTGGACCACACAAATGGTCTTTGAGCCTCAGGTCACACGTCTATTAGTGCAATGGCACCAGGGTGATACTGTACTCTAGAGGGAGGAATTTTCATGCCAATAGTAAACATGAACAGGCACTATGCTAGAAAAAAGCAAAGAATTCACTCTATTGTGATTTTTTTTAAATGCGAACATCATATTTTGGTAGATGATCACAGTGATCAAGATCAATTGTTTTGTCATGGGCTACAAAAATTATTCTATTACATTTTTTTTACCCACAAGTACAGTACTCCTACATAGTTACATTTATTTTCACCTGACTAGAATATTCTTGGTTCAAAAACAAGCTTGTGCAGATTATTTTTAATTAAATTATGTTTTTTTCCTTTTAACACAGATCCTTCATGGACAGTGAGAGCAGACATTGTTGGACAGTATCAAAATCGGATGTACACATATGAACCTCAAGACATTGACATTTGTAAGTCTCACTAGCTAATATCAAAGAGATATGATTACTGAATAAAGAACGTTTCCCCAGTTTTATAATAGTTAAAGGCACTGGCTGTTAAGTAATGGTCCATACAGAGTAGAAGGATAGAGTCCCTAGTCTCAGTCAGTGCTGATCTCAGGTGGGGTTGCTTTGGGAGCATTACATTTGACCTCTGGGTTTGGAATATTTTGATGATTTTCTTTGATCAGACGAGTATCTGACCCTGCGGTAACCCGTCAACATGCTTAACAGCATCCAAACCAGACTGAGAATGCCACTTGCAAATGGAAATTTCCCTGTGCCTGTAATGGGATGCATACTCCCTCCTTGGAGGGATGCACTTTGCTTACCTAATTCCGAAGAGTATTAACTGCTAGCTGGCAAGTGCTAATGTTTGGGGACATTTTGAGAATGGGATCAATAACAATATTTCAGATTTTTGTATTGGAGGGGGAATTGACTTCAAATTGAAATTTATTTCTGGAATAGGCATTGACCCAAATAGTTTTGTATCATATTGGAATGAGGAAATGTTTTTTTAAAAAAACATACTCAGTGGCCCAGAAGTTTCTTTTGGAGAAACTGGCACCTAAAATCTTCTAGATTGGTAATGTTTTAAACTTTGCTTGCATAATTTGCACTATTTAATTGACTTGAACTTTGGATGGATGACAAAATGCTCAAAATTCACATCCCCATGGTGTCAAAAGCTAAGTTAATAATTACAAAGGACCACGGGACAATATTTCCATTCTTAAGTGAAAACCATATATGGGCCAGTTAGTAAAAGATGGCATTCTCAGTTTGGTTTGGAAACTCTTAAAGCATGGTGATGCGTTTCTGCTTTTGTCAGACACCTGGCTGACCAAAAAAAAGTAAAGAAACTGTCTCTTGGGAGATTGATTGGTGCAAATCCTTAATGCCCCTGGATTGACTGTGTCTTTATTTAGTTATGTCATCTCATCTATCAAATAGTAAGGATACTACATTTAGTCAGGCAGCCCAGGTGAGGGAAGGGAGAATGCAGCCTAGTTTTTGCTTTTTTTTCCCCATCATTATCCAATGATGCCCTGCTTAGAGTAGCTTAGACATTGGGTCAGGGTAGAATTGAGTGTGATACCCTCACCATCAAATAAACAGTAAGACTGTCAGCTACGAGATTCACACATGAAGAATTACCATTCAGGTGAGATAAAAGATTTCACTTCAGAAGGTGAAACTGCCACAGAAGCAAGTCATCCATTACAATTTCCAGAATAACTAATCAATCATATGAATGAATAATTTAGACAGGGAGCAGACTATTGCCATAATAAGGACAGGAAGTGATAGAATAATAGGATGGCAATGACAAAGGAGCTTTTTCTTATATTCTTTATTCACATGAATTCTAACTTGTGTCCTAAATATTATGTAACCAAATGATGTTTCTTTTCAGTGATTAAAAACATGAAAACCGCCAAGATCCTGGTGAAAACAGATTTCTAAGAGAATTGGAAGAGGTTTATCTTCCATAAGCTTCAACAGTTACATTATTTCATTACTTGTAACCTGAGTAAACTCATTGTCTGGAATCTGATTGTACTGATGTGTGCAGAAGAGATGTAAATAAGGCTCTCTCCACAAGGCCATTTGAAACTCTAAGCAATGACTTTTTAATAAATCATTTTGATACAGATAGTTTCTATGTGTACAGATCCTGGAAATCTCAAGAGAATTTTTTCTCATGTGGTTTTATACTCTACAACTACATAATGTATTTATTTCACACTTTCTTAAACTGTAAGCTTATCTTTTTGTTTGTTTTTTTGGAAAATTGACAAGTACTTCCGAATGGCACTTGACCTTTATACTGGAGATCATAAGCACACAGTGAATAAATAATTAAACAATTGATGTTTGGGTATCAGATTGTAAATTTTTTTTATTCTTCTCAGAAGCAAGGTTCTCACCTTAATTACACAGTCACTACATTTTGCAGTAAATCAGTGAAATACATCCTCCTGATATGAAAGGCAAAAAATATTATTCATTAAGTTTAACAGATCTAAAAGAAAGTTTAGAGAGAACTACTTTACATGGAGGGTGATGAGAATGTAGAACTTGTTGCCAGAAGGTATGGCTCAAGCAGAAAGTGTTGATGAATTTCAGAGGAAACTACATAAATACATGAAAGAAATAGAGGATTATGGGGGGGAGGGAGGTGGCTCACGAAGAGTATAAACACCCAGATGAAGAAGGTCAACCTGTTCTGGTGTTATGGCTATGAGTAATTCTAGATTTCTCTCAGATGGCCATTAGAGCTTGAAATTTGGATGTGTTTTTAAAATCTCTGCAGAGAGTTCCCAGACCAAAGTTATTGTTAAAAGGTGTAAGCTGAGTCCATCCCAGCAGAAAACTGGGTCCATGTTTTATTCCATGTTTGCGCACAACAATGTCTCACTATTTGGAAAATTGTTGGCTAGGACACTGGGAGAAACTCCCTTATTGTTTTGAATAGTACCAGGGGTTCTTTAAAGTCCACCTGAACAGGCAGACAGGACCTCAGTTGATCCTTAATACAAAAATGCAGGATTCAATGAAAATCCCACTAAGGAGTTTAGTTTGATAATCATCATCTTGTGAATTAGCAAAACAGCATGGGAGAGAAGAAAACCTTTGTCATAAGAGGAAGGAATTTTAATCCAAACTGTTTACTTCTTTCAGTGTATTGGTCACAATTTTGTTCAACTTTTATGGTGCCAATAAATTGAGTTAACTATACCTTTGATTTTTTTAGTTTGAGATTTTTTTCACTTTTATAGAAATTAACATGACAAAGAATGTGTTTGAGAGCAGTGATATTTATCATTCAGTGTTATCGTGTTATCTTTGCCATTCTCTACTGATGAAAGAAAGACCTATTTGAAAGCAGACATGACTTGAGTTTTCCACCTCAGTTCTGCCTTCAGCCATAAATTCAAACAGCAATGATGGGGAGTGTTGGGAAACTAATGTGCAGCACTTTAAAGGCTGTAAAGTGCACTCATTCCATTATTCAAGAACATGTTCTGAATTCTCCAAAATGGGATTTAATTAATGATATTCATAAACTGGATTCAATGTGTTTATTATGAACATTGGGAACTTTGCCAGGTTCCCAAAAGCCAATTAATCCAGAAAAATGTTGTTTTTCCCTGTATCAAATTTGTAAATACAGGTATTGGTATTCAGACTCAGAAGGCTGATTCAAAGACAACTTTGTCATACGTGATGATGTTATGTACTGTGGCCTGCGACCTTCACTTTTTTTATATACAAAATGCTTTTGGCCCATTCTTAATTTGAGACAATTCATCTGGTGCTTTTGAAAATCATTTTAAATATTCATACATTTTAGCATCACGTTTATTATTCTTAGAAATAAGTGCGTCAGCCTGACTCAGTTGGTAGCACTCTGCTTCCAAGTAAGGAGGTTGGAATGTTCAAGTCCGATGTCGGGATTTGAAACTCACAGTCCCAGCTGTCACTACATTGCTGGGGTGTGCAGGATTGTTGGAGGTGCCGTCCTTTGAATGAGATGTTAAATTGATGTCCAGTTTGCCTGTTCAACTCCTAAAGATCCCATGGCACTATTCGAAAAGAGAAGGGAGTTTCTCCCAGTGTCCGAGCCAACAATTCCCCAGATAGAATTCACATCATGGCTATTTGTGGGACATAGCACTGCACTGGAGTGTCAGTAGGCTATGAGTTCAAAGTCCTGACCTGGCATTTGAACTCGCAATGTTCCAGCTCAAGACACAAGAATGCTATCACCTAAGCCAGGCTGACACACCAACAAGGTTCTGTCACTTGTTAATTCTATTAAGGCTTTACCTTGCAATTTCAACAACATGTCTACACCTCTAAATTTTATTGATACAACAGCCAAGAAAGTTTACCATCAACAATGCTTTATATTAATATAGTTTAAGCTTGATTACCAGATGCTGAACCTTACTGAACAGGATGGAAATAATTTGCTCTCACACTCTTCTGGTAGGAGATTATTTGTACTCCATCTCATTCAGAGAACAGCAAGTACCATGGAGAATAACTTGAAAAGCCAAAGATGATATTGTGTCATGGGAACAGAAAAGTCACATTTAATTCTATGCAACTCAAATGAATAATTCCTAGATTGAAAAAAATGAAAAAAGCCAAAACATTTTGACAATTTGTACTTCTGTGAATAGCTTTTTTGTTTTTCTTAAAATTGTAGATGTTAAGCATCATTTATCTTGGTCCAATATCATCTTTCATCAATAAAATATCAATAGTTACTGCAAACAGGTGATGCATTTCCAAATTTGGCATTGATTTCAGGGTTATCCTGCTTGGTTCCAACCAGCACCTCCTCACCTCAGGCACTGACTGTATTAATCTCCCAGTTCCCCACTCCAGCTCATGGGGCCACAATGCTATCTTGGTATTTTGTTTGACCCTCACCTCTTTAAGCTTTTCATCTGGTCTCTACCCACCTGCTTTCCTTAATTTCTGCAACATTGCCCATCTGCATCACCATCTTACCCCCAACATAGTCTCATTCATGCTTTGTCACCTCCACACTCAAATTCTCCAACACACCGATCACCAGCCTTCCCAGTCTACATCATCTCCCGCATATGATTCATTCCAAATCTCGCCAGGCTTCTTATCCTCTAGCACATCAACTTTTATGATCCTTATCCTCAAATGCCTCCACAGCATTACCTCACTGTACCTTTGTGATCTCCTCCTACTCTGCCCACTCCCGTCACTCTGCCAGTTCTGGCTCCTTGCTTCGTTCTACCTGTTGAATTAGTTTTCAGACATTTTGTCCCACTCTCTGGAACTCTCTCCATAAATCCCTTGCCTCACATAATCCATTTTTAAAACCCATGTAAAAACCTCCCTCTGACTGCACCTTCAGTCACTTTCCCTCCAGCTCCCTGTCCCCCTCAAAATTGGGGCCCCTACTCCATCTCTGTGAATAACTTGAGATGTCCTCTTATGTTAAAGGCACGATAAGTGAAAATTGTTGAAGTTTTTGAAAACATAAACTGGAGCCGATAAATAAACAAATGATTCCACCAGTGAATAAAATTCAATAGCTCACAAATCCAAAACGGAAGTATTATAATTTGTGCTTAATGGAATAAATCCTTCAGCTCCTCATTCCAAGAATACAGCAAACATTATACTTATGAGCCTTACTCAGATATCTGGCCAAGGTATTTATTATATTAAGGTCACAAGTTAATTTTAAACTAACATATACAACGTGACTACTGTGTCCCTCCACTGTAGGTTCATCTTACAAAGAGTAAAATAACTTCCAACTGTAAGAGGAGTATTGCAATGTGCAGGACTGTGTTTAAACAATTAAATCAGATGTGCCCAACAAGGGCATGTTTAAAATTACTCTTTGAACCAGTTACTGACAAATACAGAACCAGGATACAGTTCAGGTATTTCTGCAATCCTTTCCTGAAATGCCCTGTATGTCTATCATACCACAGGCCTATCATACCACAGGCAGTTTAGAACAATTTACATCTTAATTTTTTAAAATCTTGTTTCCATGAACGTACGCACAAGCACAGAAAAATACCCCTCCATATAGAGTAATGGCAGCAGCAGTTTCCGAGCTCTTCATATTGTAATCCTGGAAGTGAAGTACAGAATTTGTTTGCAGGGTCACCTTAACCTGTACATAATATACTGTGGCACTGCTTCATGACGTTGTGAAAAGCTTTTAACCCAAAGAAAAAAAAATGTCTCATGCCTCTTAAATTGGCGTTTGGCTGTCGGAATTAAAATAGATCAAAACTACTTACAGACAAAATTGCGGAACTGCCGGGGGAGGGTGGGAACAAAACTTAAATTTAAAACATGTTATATTTTGTTTTTACATGCCTTTAATGGAGCTGATGGCTCATGGTATTTTGCTAATTATTTTGTTTCAGCAGCCTTTCCCCAGGAGCACCTCCTGATTTTATTAAGCTAGGAGGGGAAAGGAAGCTTGATTTTGCTAAACTGCTGCTCTTTATGCTGTGTTTATACTTATGTGAGCAAAGCTGTCTCACTGTCAGCTGACAAGCGAGGAGAAGCAATAGAAGCCTAATTTATACTTCCCCTCCCCCTCACATAAAAACATTTCCTGATTCAAAAATTCTGTGCAGTTTTGGGCATCAATTGTTTTATTCAGGCCTTCCACGGCCTTGCTCCCCACTACCTCTGCGACCTCATACCATCCTGCTGGCTCCCTCCACTCAGCGGGCTCCAGCCTACTTCATGTCCCCCGACTTGCTCACCCCACTGTTGGCGGATGGGCTTTCTACGCTCTGCCCCCACCCTCTGGAACTCCATCCCGCAGTTCCTCCGTCTTGCCCCCTCCCTTGCCACCTTCAAGACCCATCTCAAGACCCTCCTCTTCGACTGTGTTTTCGATCTCCCTGCTTTCCCCCTGCCCTCCACCCTCCCCCACCCCGACCCCCAGCTCGGGTCCAAAACTCTGTCTGTCCAGCGCCTTGGGACATCCTCCTGACGTGAAAGGCGCCATACAAATGTAATTTTGTTGTTCTTGTTTGTTGTTGTTTATTAGAGTGGTTGTACTTTTAATGTTATCAAACGAGCACTGGTGGCTATTGATAACATTAACAATCCATTTAAGATTTCTGGACAATTCATTTGATTGCTCAAGGGCTTTCAACAGACCATTGGAGACACTGCCTTGTGCAAACCACACTGCGTAAACTGCAGAGGAAGAGAATTGCAACGGTCTTAAAACTCCATCCTCCAAGTTGTATGAGGTATGGGGTCGGAGACTATTTGCACTGGCTCAACCCCAATTTACATAACATATTTTGTAATGCCCCAACCTGTCATCCCAACAACCAATACCAACATCATAATAAATGAGCATTGCTAGTATCCCATATACCTGTCAGGCCAACTGGCTTTAAAAGTTCCTATTTTAATTAGGTAAGATTTTCCATTGTCCAGCCCTCAGGTGCAACTCTAATATAATATTGTTAAAAAANGTAGTAACTAGCACATTCTCCTTCATTTTTCTTCAGAATTCTAGGGTAAATCCCACCTTGATTTTGGTTAGTTTTGACCTTATTTAATTATTGTAGCCCAGGTCTAGTGGGATTTTTTTTTTGCACCTGCATGTCGACCTTCCCAATTCTTCCCTCCACAAGCTGCAGATCATCCAAAACTCTGCAGCTCGTGTCCTCTCCTGTTCCGGGCTCTGTGACCCCCATCACACCCAACCTCGCCCACTACACTGACTCCCCATCCCTCAGAGGATCGAGTTCAAAATTCTTGTCCTCATATTCAAGGCCCTCCATGGTCTTGCCCCCCCTACCTCTCCGACCTGCTAAACTCTTATCAACCTGTTCGCTCAGCAGGCTCCGGCCTGCTCCATGTCCCCCGCCCGGCCCGGCGGTCGGGCCTTCAGCCACTCTGCCCCCATCCTCTGGAACTCCATCCCACATTCCCTTCCCTCGCTCCCTTCTTTGCCTCCAAGGCACGTCTCAAGACCCTCCTCTTCGACCGTGCCTTCCGACACCCTCCTACACTCTCTGCCCTTCACCGTCCCTGATTCCAAACCCCCCACCAATAATTCTCACCTTTTTCTTGTCTAAAGAGGCCACCATCAAACTTGTACATCACTTGTACATCAAGGTATCACTTTTACCTATTTATGACCTATACAGAATTCCAGTACTCTGTGCATGTTAAAGGCCTAGAACATGCTAACCTCCATTCATTCAAGAGTTTGATATAGGAATCTACCACCTCGTCAAACTGCATTCCCTGCAGTTTTTAAAAACATATTTATAACATGTTGGAAATCAGACTTTTTCATGTCATCAATGTGTTCTGCCTGTGAAACAGCAGGGAGACAAGTGGCAGAAAACCACTGTATCTTAATCTATTCTCAACAAGACAGGGTGGTTTGTTAAAACAGATTGCCTGGTGGGAAGAAGCACTTATCTTTCAAGTACTAACCTTGCAGTTTTTCAATGCGCATGTATTTTCCTGCTATCACATATAGAAGTCAAATTTACTACCTTGCTGCAGACCGCGTCCTCTCCTCGCCAGGCTTCATCACCTTCGTCTTCGCTCAGCTCCACAGCTCCCAGTGGATCGAATTCTTCTCCTTACTTTTAGATACTGTGTCAGCCTGGCACAGTGATAGCACTCTCCTCTCTGAGTCAGAAGGTTGTGGGTTCAAGCTCCAGATCGGGACATGGGATCACATAGTCAAAGATGGCACTGCAGTGCAGTGCTGGGGGTGTGTTTCATTGTCCTTCAGATAAGACGTTAAACCAATATCCCATCTGCCTGTTCTGGTGGATGTAAAAGATCGCATGGCACTATTTGAAAAGTGAATGGAATATCTTCTAGTGTCCTGGCCAACAATACCCCAAATAAAATTGGTCACTCACTCCATGGCTGCTTGCGTGACTTTGCTGTGTGCAACTGGTTGCCATGCTTCACCCACAAAATATACAGTCAAGCCGCTTCATAATATATCCTGTGAAGCACTTTGAGACACCTCAACAATGTGATAAAGCGCAATATCAAATGCAAGAATTATTATTATTATCCTTCCATGGCTTTCCCCACCCTACTTCAGCTACTTCCTGTGGCTATTACTGCCCTGTCTGCTCCCTCTACTTATTAAACACCAATCTACTTCATGTTCCCACTGTACAATCCACCCGACCATTAGTGGGCAAGCATTTAGACATTCTACACATTCTCTGACTTCCCACCTCCCTACATCAAAATCCACCTCAAGACCCATCTCTTTGACTGTGCTTTCAGCCACCTTGCCCCCTTCTCCTCAGCGCGGGCTTTCAGTCAGATGTGTGAAGGCTTTGAGACATTTTACCGAAAATATATATAAACATATATAAATATATATCTTGTTTAACACTTATTATCAAAGTATTATGTCACAAAATGCATTTTATATAGCACCCTTCACAGGATAGTATCTCGCCACCTGAAAAACCCCAGTACAAAAACAAATTGTAATTTACAATAATTGCATTTCGCTCTTTTTAAAAATAAGTAAAAAATAAGCGGGCATTTTCATTGTATTCATACAAAAATAATCTCAAAACAATTTAAACTGCAGGAATAAACTTAATGGATTCTAAGGTGCAAGGTTCAAAGAAAACAAGACATCATTCAATTCACCCACCCATAATAAGAGTGAAGCTTTAATGGTTGGAAAACAGAATTTATTAGTCTCTTAAATTTTACAAATCCCATCAATACAACAGCAATCTTATTTGCAATTTCTCCGTAAATGTGTTATTCATTTTTTTCACAACTTTTTTCACTTCAGTGTTTTGTAATGACCGACTGCTGCCGTGACAATTCTGAATGCAGTTCAGCCATGAGAAGTGTGCACAATGGAGGTCCAGTACTGTCAGCTACATTTTCAAAACATTGAAAGCCATGAAATTCTTCAACTGTATGCAGAGGGAACCAAATATCAAGCAAAATACAGTGCAACTTTCTTCCAGTTAAAACTGCATTTTCAACGTACACAATGTGCATCAAACCCAAAAAAGGTCTTACTAAACTTTATTTTAAACAATCAGAACTGAAAGACCATGTTTCAAAGCAATGCCACCAAACTTCAAAGAGAAAAAAAAACTTCAAGCAATTACATTTGAACATTGATCACAAGTCCACCACTGTTCTAAACAGAACGGCTCATTAGTTAGATTCACAGGTGCAATGGAAACATAGAAACTTTTTCAAAATAAGCTAGATGAACTTGTAGTTATGTACAGTCAAGAGTTTATAAAGGAAAGCAATATTCCATGAAAAAATCATATTTAAGATCTCAATATCATGAAGCAGAGCTACGTTTCTCTTCAGACTGGTACTGCTCAACACATCCACAAAGGTTGGCTGTACAATTTAAAATTTTGTCTAAACCAAAAAATGCTCAATCTGAAAAGGTGTTTTAAAAAACCACAGACAACCAAGATATCTATGTGGAAATTCTTAAATATTAGTATGGCAATTTGTGACTTGCTGAATAAAACAAAAGTATAAATTGGGTTTGAGAATCCCAATCGCAAAATGATTTGTGCCGGAGTCCAGCTGCTGAGATCACTCGAGAAAATAGTTTCACCAGGACACTGCTGAGGTATAAATCAGGTGATACAATTTTATTCAACTACTCTCAAAAAATATTCATTAGAAGTTAGTGTCAGTTAGTGGATCTCTGTGCATTGCTTAGTTACACGTGTACAGAGGTCTCCTGAGCCTCAGCAACAATACTTATACTAAGAAATATGAATAGTTTCCTGCACAGAATCGCTCCAGAGCTAAAAACAAGGTCAAATAGCTTCCCGCAATATTTTCCAATAAATATCTCTGGAATGTCCATGCGTAGGTGGGATGCACGCAATGCTCAGTTTGGTTTGGATACCCTTAAGCATAGTGGGTTTCCGCATGTGTCAGACACCCGACTGACCAAAAATAACATGACATTAGTGTTTCCATACATTCATATTCCAATATTATTTGTGATTATCTCTCAATTAAACACAACTAAGACAATCTCTAAAAACCTTAGTCATGTCATGGTAAAGCACAGAACTCTCAAGGGCGTAATCGGAGCATAAAACATGGTAAGGTGGAGTGGTTAATTACATCACTTTCTTCATAGGTAATATTCAATGTCATCAGTGCATATGGATTCAGGAGTTTAGCAACAGGTAGTTTTGAAAGGCAACTGTTACAGAAGCCTTCTGTATTAAATGAACACCTGCAAATAGGATCAAACTACAGGGACAGTGGTCAGCAGTGTGTTCACCATAATTCTGGAATGCTCTCGGATAATCAACCTAGATTGGTTTTCAGTATTATTACAACAGACACTAATAACTGAAAGGGAACCCATCTCCCGGGTGAAGGGCAAATTTTGCAAAAAGGCAATACAGGAAGCAGCAACAAAAATGGTGGCCTTTTTTAAAAAAAATACAGTGGTGCAGTATTTCAGTAGCATGACATTTCTGACGTTTTCCCTTAGAGAAAAGCACTTGGATTAGCTCGGGGATCCTTCTGGTTTCTGTATCGGTGCGTTAACCATACACCCAAGATCTGGAAGATATTAAAATGTTTATAAGGCTTAACTGGAAGAATCTTGCTGGAACAAACAAACCATAAATATTATCTAAAATTTAAAGATCTTGTTCAAGAGAATTTCCATTTATATATGACATACTATGTGCATTATTCACTTGGTCACTTTCATATCAATTTGGAGAAAAATCTATTTAATTGGTATATAAATAATAATAATCCTTGCATTTGATATAGCGCTTTTAAAGTCTTCTAGATGTCTCAAAGCGCTTCACAGAATATACTGTAAAATGAATTGACTGTATACCTTTGTGGGAGAAACTGTATATCTTTGTGGGTAATATGTTACCTTTATTTTGCAAAGTTGCCGGGAATCAAACCCACGTCTCTCACTTGCGAGGCAAGTACTCTAACCACTGAGCTACAGGACTCCTGCAGCTCCTGCTTCCCATCAGTGGAGCTACAAGACTCCTGAATGCTACCACAAGTCATGCAAATTATAAATACCTTCACAAAAGAGTAACATCATTTTGAATATAACAAATGCACAAGCACCAACACAATACATCATTCAAATTCTTTAGGTGGTTGAAGTAATGATCAGATAACCCAAACATATCATAGAAAATCAATATAGGAAGTTATTTAGTTCATCAAATTTTGTTTGTGCCAGTTTTGCCCTACTTTAATCCCAATTCCCATATCTTTCCATATTGTTCCTTTTAAAACCTCTATCCAATTAGCTTTTAAATGTCATTATGAACGCATGTTACATAACCTACTTAATTACTTAGTGAACGGAGGTCAAACATGGCTAACAAAATAAATCAAGGGAATCCGCTCCGTGGTCACTTCCCCTCCAACATCCACCCACACCCCACCCCCTCCGTCCCACACTCCGACTCCTACCCATCCTCCCCTACACACTTTCGTACCCGTTTCCCCACCTTCTGTCACCAAACTCATCCTATCTCTGAAACCCACCACCTGCTCCCTTGACCCCATCCCCACTCCACTCCTTATCTCTCAGCTCCACCTCCGTGCCCCACATATCACAGACATCGTCAATCTGTCGCTCTCCTCTGGCTCTGTTCCCATTCCCTTAAAAACTGCCACCATCACTCCCACCTTGAAAAAACCCTTCCTTGATGCGTCGCAGCTATCAAGCTACCGGCCCATCTTCAACGTCCCCTTCCTGTCCAAGGTCCTTGAAAGAGTTGTCACCTCCCAGCTGCGCTCTTTCCTCTCCACCCATGCATTATTCGAACCCCTTCAGTCGGGTTTCCGTGCTGCCCCTGGTCAAGGTCACCAATGACATCCTGACCATCTGCGACCAGGGCTCCCTCTGCCTCCTCGACCTATCGGAGCATTCGATACGGTCGACCACGCTATCCTCCTCCATCGCTTGTCCTCCCACCTCAACCTTCAAGGCCCTGTCCTTGAGTGGTTTAGGTCGTATCTCTCCCACCGTCTCCACTTTGTTTCCACAAACGGCTTCTCCTCCAGCCCCCACACTGTCTCGTGCGGTGTCCCTCAGGGCTCTGTCCTCGGTCCCCTCCTCTTCACCCTCTATATGCTCCCCCTTGGTGACATCATCCGCAGACATGGGGTTAACTTCCACATGTATGCGGATGACACCCAACTCTACCTTTCCTCCTCTACCCTCAACTCCACGACCACCGATGTCCTGACAGCTGCCTGTCCGACATCGAGTCCTGGACGAGAGACAACTTTCTTCAGCTCAACGTGCGAAAAACTGAGGCCCTCCTGATTGGCTCACGTCAGCGCCTCCGCACCTCAGGCGCTGACAGCATCAGCATCCGAGGCTGCACTCTACACCTCTCAAAGCCAGTCAGGAACCTCGGCGTTCTCTTCGACCCTGAGCTGTCCTTTCTTCCTCATATCCGCGCCACAACTGGCACCGCCTTCCATCACCTCCGGAATATCGCCAGACTACGGCACTACCTCACCCCTCACGCGGCTGAAACTCTGGTCCACGCCTTTATCACCTCAAGGCTGGACTATGGGAACTCTCTCCTCGCCGGCCTTCCCGGCACCTCCCTCCACAAGCTGCAGGTCATTCAGAACTCTGCAGCTCGTGTACTGTCCCGCACCAGGCTTCGCGACCACATCACTCCCACCCTCGCTCGCCTCCACTGGCTCCCCATCCCCCAGAGGATCGAATTCAAGATCCTCATCCTCACCTACAAGGCCATTCATGGCCTCGCTCCCTCCTACCTCTCCGACCTACTATCCCCCTACTTACCTGCCCGTACCCTCCGTTCCTCTGGCTCCGATCTGCTCCACATCTCCCGCCCCAACCTCCCTACCATTGGTGGCCGGGCCTTCAGCCTCTCAGCCCCCAGGCTCTGGAACTCTATCCCCCAGTGCCTTCGCCGCCTCCTCCCTTTCCTCCTTCAAGGTTGGTCTCAAGACCTTTCTTTTTGACCGTGCCTTCAGCTCCCCTCTCGACTCTCTACCCCCTCCTCGCTCCCTCCCCTCACCCTGACCATTTCCCCCCTGCTCGGGTCATGACCCAACTGTACAGCGCCTTGGGATGTCCTCCCGACGTGAAAGGCGCTCTATAAATGGAATCTTGTTGTTGTCGTTGTACATTCAGGCAAGAACCTCATTGTGAGTGCTTTGTAAAGTGCAAGATGTTGGCATGTATTCCTTTCATAACTTGGACTAGATCTATGTTAGAATCATCCATCTCCCTCAACAGTAATCAAATTGGATAAAAAATGTTCCCAATATCCAGTTTTCAAAGTTATCCACCAATTTTCAAAATAGTTTATTTTTAAAGTAAAAGTAGTCCTTGGATGCAGTAAATTTAACATTGACCTAGTTTTCTCTACCAACATTTTATTATGCAGTCAAGATCCCATGGGACTATTTGAAAAGGGAAGAGTTTTTTTTGCTATCCTGGCAGTCTCCCAAATAAAACTGATCATTCAATCCCTTTCTGTTTGTGGGGCATTGTGTGTACAAATCGACTGTAGTGTTTGACTACACAATATACAGTTACTGCATTTCACAGTGAATTGTGAAGCACTTTGAGACATACTGAGATGTCGAGAAGACGTGAAAGAGCGCTATATCAAATGCAAGGATTATTATTATATTACCAGGATAACAAGGCACTATATCAAATGCAAGGATTATTACAACAAAGTTCACAAACTTGCAAACTGTGCAGACCTCATCGCAACAAGCATCATTAATGCAACAGAAAGGTTAGCCTAGCGTATCATTATTTTTCTAAAATTAGGATTTTAGTTGTCTAAAATATATGTTATCACCATTCCTGGCAATACAGCTGCTTATTTTTTTTGATAAGTTTACTGACCTCAGTGAAGCTAAAGAAAAGTCCAATACCACCAACATATCTCAGGACTTCCCCGGCGTGCATTTTTAGGATCGGCCCACACGTTGGACAGTTATCGCTTTCGATGCAGCGCTAAACAAAGAAAAAAACAGGATGATTATTTGTTCCACATTATAATCTCCCCTTCCAGCATGAGACACTATTTGAAGAACGACCAGCAGAATTGAAAGTTGGTAGTACTCTTGTCTCTGGGTCAAAAGGTTGTGGGTTCAAGTCCCGTGTCAGGAACTTAGGAGCATATGGTCCATTGCAGCATTGAGGGAGTGCTGCATTGTCAGAGGTGCGGTCCTTCAGATAAGACCATAGGTCCAGAATGTCTATTTTTTATTCAAGTGACTCCACCACAATAGAGGGATAATATATTTGTTCTATAAAATGGTCTGCAATAATATATACATTTATTTTTAAAGTTAAAGTAGTCCTTGGATGCAGTAAATTTAACATTGACCTAGTTTTCTCTACCAACATTTTATTATGCAATCAAGATCCCATGGGACTATTTGAAAAGGGAAGGGAAAAGGGACCAAATACACCAAATGTTCATCCTACACACGAACCCATCAAGATAACTGGGGCTAGATTAATCTGTCAGATCCCATGATACTAATAAGATAAAATAGTTGTTTTCTTGGCATCTTAAATTTCAGCCTTTTCCTCCTTCTCCAAAAGATAGGAAACAGCAAGTGACATTGCATCATAGTCCCTCTGTCATTCATCTGTATCCTCTAATACCTGACCATTACAGATCAATTCTACTTACTGCTTTGCAGGTTCCATTATTCTCCATATTCGTGTTAAATCCGCAGCAGTTGAAGTATTCTTCCACGTCCATTCTGGTTTCAAACGATTTATTCCATCCCACCTCCAGCAGATTATTCTGGTCAAAAAACAGTATTGCTTTGCATTTCTCATCAGCATTCTGCAAGCACTGCAGTTGTACACTTTCTCACATTTAATTATTGTAAATAAAAAAATAAGAAGTTGTGTACACTGTATTTACTAATTTTTTTTTGCTCAGCCAGTTATCTGACACATGCGGAAAACCACCACCGTGTTTAAAAGCATCCAAACTAAGAATTCCATGCATCCCACCTACACATGGAATTCCCAGAGATAGATTGTCAGAATAAAAGCAACTCTCTCCCTGGAAGGACACATCCTGCTTACCTAATTCTGGAAAGCAAGGTGCACTTTGGTAGAAACCAAAGCTTGGGGGCCCCAGAGAATGCGTTGGGATACTGCTGGAATTTAGTCAGCTAAAACCGCATACCTTGCCATTGATAGCACTGTCTGTCAAGTTTTCTCACTACTTGTCCAGCTAGGTCCATCCTACCCGTTAGGGCTTTGGCTTGCAAGGATAATAGGAGCTGTGTGGGAGGATTCCATGCCCCCAGTAACTGGTCTGCTCTTCCAAGTCCTGTCATACTGTAAACTACATAGAGTGAAACTTGCCCTGGATACCTCACATAACTCATCACGCACTCAATATCTTAGTTATTTCCCATAAGGTGACTAGTTATCCTCTGATAACTTGTCACTCTGGATATGTTGTAACTCAGCAAGCTTTTGCACTTTTGTCTCTATAAAATACCTCTGATAACACATTTTATTGGGGCTTCAAAATTTTGAAAGGCATGAAAATGGCATTTGCCTCAGGCATGTTGTGTATTGCACTTCCCATCTTCCGCAGTTGCACCAAAGTATCAAGTGCCCAGGACTACACTTCATGTTTGGATGGAAAAACAAAGATAAGATTCACCACGCTGTTAATCTTGCAACATCCGCCTCCTCCCCCAAGATAGGGGCAGTTAACATGTACTATATCATTAGTTAATAGTTAACAAGACTGAAGAGTACTACCTGTGTAACTCAATGGTTTGCAGGAAGACCAGGATTTGTGTCATTTAAATAATAGCCACCCAGTGACCAACCCAGATACATACGCATATATGAGCTGAGCAGCTGCATCAAAACATTTATCAATCAGAAAAAAGTGAAGAACATTTTAAGTGCAGAATGATGAACATTCTCTTTTTTTACCTGTTGATGTTGGTTGAGGGCCAGGCTAGCACAAGAGATAGAGAATTGCACCACAAACAACAAAAACAAAATGATCATATACTAAAGGGAAATAGTCAAGGAAGAAAAGGGTAAAACTTACTATATGTGATACACAGCAATATTAGAGTATAAATCATTGACTAGATTAATTACTTGTAATTTTCCTTAGTTTATTGTAAGATGTTGCTACAGACCAAATGTTTAAATAAATAATTAACCACTAATAAAATATTAAACACAATATTCACCACCTCTTTAACAGTCAGAACTAATGCACACAATGACAAAGATACCAGTCTCTCTTCTCAAAATACACAACAATGTATCAATTCAGTCACGAGGACAAGCCTTTTGAACATTCACAATCATTTTCAATTTAAATTATGATTTCCAATTTCTGAAACATGGTGGTTAACAAAAACAATTCCTTAAATTACATCCAGCAGATATATTAGCTTCTAATTATTTTTGAAGACAATGTTCTCACACTAGGGGAGTTCTACCTATCTTACTTGTACAAGGCTTAATTAAAGTTTGAAGCACGTAATAGATGTTCCATCACGTGAAAGCCATGCAAAGTCAAAATGTGAGGACATTATGATGCATCATATAAGTTCACTGGAGTCTGCCCTGAAATTGCCATTAACCTGTATTCTCTTGTTCTGTTGTCTCAATACATCTGAAAGTTCTGGGTTTACTTTCTCAATCCCATTCAAAAATATGTATACCTCTAATAAGATACCATCTAAGACTTCTCCCCTCAAGACTGAAGATCTGTAGCTTGACCAATTGTGATGACCTTACCACATATGATCAGGTAGTCGCTGTTATGCATTTGGCAATCCTGTTGTTTGATTAGCTTATTGCCATAACGTAACTGGTATTTATTCTCAGTTTAGCTACAGTGCTTTAATATGTATAGGACTAGTGGGCACAAAGTGGCAAGATTCCCTGTAGATTTATCTGCTAGCAGTCTAGGGGGTACATGTTTGAACCATCTGTATTTCTCAAATCAGTAAATCAGATAAAATTTATGAACAGTTAATGACTCAATGCCCGTTTAAAGGATACAAAAAAGAGCAGCACCTGGTGGTGCTTAATAGCTCCAAGCAATCCAATCAATGCAATGAGGAACAGGAAGATTCCCACTCCGATCACTCCTGCCACCACAGAAAAGCTTGTAACAAGTCCAAAGGTTTTACCCCATGCTGCAATCCCGATCAGCAGCAGGCTGACCATCTGCAAAACAAAAAGATGGAATAGTTTAGAATTTCTTGGGCAATCAGAATGCACAGTTCAAAAGCAATTGGGCCATTCATTCAATCTGCTCTGCATTATTGTGAGTTTGGTGCAAAATATAGACAGAGTTTGGTACTTAAGTTGTGTTTTTTAAAAAAAAAAGCAATTACAGTCACAAAACGCTACATCTCTTTCTCCCTTGTCCCTCACCATTGTGCACAATCATTGAACGGTGGGATGAGATGTTAAACCACGGCCCCATCTGCCTGCTGAGGTGGATGCTAAAAATTCCATGGCACTATTTGAAAAGAGAAGCGAGTTTCTCCCAGTCTCCCGGCCAACAATCTCCCAAATCAAAATGTCATTCACCTCATGGCTATTTGTTGGGCACTGCGTTGTGCAAATTAGTTGCCATGTTTGCTCACGGTACAGCTACTTCACTTTGCAGTATATCCTGTGAAGAGCTTTCAGACATCCTCTCGCATGTAAGATTATAAACCTTGCTGTCCACAAAATGGTTACCACATTTGTCTAGAAAACCGGTCATTACATCTTCAATTGACAAACTACTGAAGCTATACAAGTTCCCCAAAACAGAAAGCATCTGCAGGTTACATGCTTTGCAGATTCAAAAAAAGTTATTAAAACTTTCTCAGCCCCGACACACTTGAACATTCACATCATGTACAAAAATGAATTAGTATTTAAAATTAGAAAGTTTAGGTATAAAAGTCGGCCACCATACATCATTGCTGCCAACAGTATTTCAAAACAGAAATATATCTCAAATGTTACAAAGATGCAGGTTCATAATCCACTGTTGCCAATGGCTTCTTGCAAATATTTACCTCATGACCAGCAGATGAAACTCCTCCAATATAATCGTGGCACAGTACTAAATCTCTCTTCTCTTCCCCCACCTGAAATTTTACTCTAATTTAAGGAAGGGTGATCTTGTGAAGCAGCTTCAAGCCAAAGTGCCAAAGAAGTTAGATCAGAATAAATAGTCTTTTAAAATTGATTCAGATAAAATAATAGGCCTATGGACTGGAGACAAAACTATTTAAACGAGATATTAAAACAAATAAAATTTAAAAAGTAAGATGCTGTGAATACAGAACTAATAATTCTACAATAAAACTTACACCTTCCCTGCCACTCACCACAGTCATCTCCCCTTACTCCCATTTACAGTCCAATCCTCGCCACTGTAATGCGCTCCAAGACACTCTTTGTGAAGGGCACTACAGTATATATAATAATAATCCTTGCATTTGATATAGCGTTTTTCACATCTTCCAGACCCTCAAAGCGCTTCACAGAATATACTGTAAAGTGAATTGACTGTATATTTGTGGGCGAAACGCAGAAGCCAATTGCGTACAGCAGTGTCCCACAAACAGCCGTGGATTGAGTGACCAAATTATTAATATTGTTTAGGGTTATTATCCCCGGAAAAGCGATCCGCCAATCAACTAACAACTGGGTTCTTACTTACTGCTAGGTAAACAAAGACGTGTGGAGTAAGGAAACTTGCCCAACATTTCGCCCCGCCATTATATGAATGAAGTTGTTGAAATGTTTTCATAGAATTTTAAGGCACAGAAGGAGGCCATTCAGCCCATCGTGCCTGTCCCGGATCTTTGAAAGAGCTACCCACTCGCCCGCTCTTACCCCATAGGCCTGCAAATTCTTCCTTTTTAAGTGCCAATCTAATTTCCTTTTGGAAGCTATTATTGAATCTGCTTCCACTACTCTTTCAGGCAGTGCATTCCAGACCGTTTTGTATGCAAACAACTATTTAACTAAGAAACAATTTAAATGCCTAAATATACAAAGCTTGGTTTCAGTTAGAAGTTTGATTTTGCCATGTTTATGGTTCAGTCACGATTGAAATGTTAAGTATTAATTGTTGGGGCTGTTCATCAGAGAAAGAGGGGAAACTCAATAAATATATTACGCGCAGCAACATTCTACAAAACAGCCACAAAATCCAATTTTATTAGAGGGATTATTGGCCAAGGACACTGCGGGAAACAGTGTCCTCTTTTTGAACAGTACCATGAGATCTTTAATGTCCATTTTAACAGGCAGTCAGAACCTTGGTTTAACGTCTCATCCAAAAGATACCCCTAAAACTGCACCAAGGCTATACAAAGTCGTGATGTGGACTTGAACCCAGAGGCTCTGACTTGGAGGTAAGAGTGCTACCAACTGAGCCAGGCTGATAACATTTTTTTGCATTTATATAGTGCCTTTCATATCAAGAGGATGTCCCAAGGTGTCAGCCTGGACTAGATTCAAATTCAAATAAAAAACATTCATGGACAGTGACCAAACCCTTGGCAAATCCATTTCCTACATTTAGTTAACATTCAGACTTCCTATATCATGTTGAATAATAAATACAAATGAGCAGAAAATACAAATGGTTCAGCTGAGATGCAGATTGTTAAATATACTTGTCGTACAATATAATGTCTGCTATTACTGGACTAATATTGCAAAGAAAAATCCTCCAAATCACCATACAGAATCTTTTGTATTTTGGATAATGTGTAAAGATGGAAATGCTTAAAATCTGATCAAAAGCTCTGAAAATGTTCCTAACAAAAATTTCCATTGTGCATTGATTCTGCAATCATAGAAATAATCACTGTCACTCCTCGAAACATTAATATCAGTGTTCAAGGCAGTGCTGCTTTGACCTGATGAAGAAAAGCATTGTTATCTTGTTTACCACAAGAGATGGAGTACAAAAAGGTACCGAATAACGTCATGTAATACTTCATCTCTAGACTGAGGCTTCAGATGACCAGGATGTTGCGTACAGCATTATTATGTAAACAGCTAACAATTCTTTTTTTAGTCAGCTGAGCGTCTGATACATGAGAAAACCCATCACCCGCTTAAGAGTATCCAAACCAGATAGTTCTACACATGTCCACCTACACATGTCTGGATTGGAAGGCACACTCTCCTCCACCCTTCCTCCCCATAGGGAAGTATCCTGCTTACCTAATCCTAGAGAGTATTAGTAGGCAGGTTAGCAAGAACCAAGGCCCTGGGGACCCAGAGTGTGTGTTAGGGTACTGTTGGACTTTATCCAGCTAAAACCTTGTAAATTGCCATTACAAACATAGTTGACTACGAAGCTGAACCAATATTACATCACCGAGTCTACCAAAGGGAATTAACTCAGCTCCACTCTCTCTTCACCAGACACGTCGTCATCTCAATCCATAAACCTTTACAATATAATATAATCCTTGCATTTGATATAGCACCTTATCATGTTTTCGAGACATTTCAAAGCACTTCACAGAATATATTATAAAGTGCAGTGGCTGTGTATTTGTTGGCGAAACACTGCGCACAGCAGTGTCCCACAAGCAGTCATGGATTGAAGGACCAATTTTTATTTATTTATTGGAGAGATTATTACCTGTGGAAATTGGCCCGCCCACCAACAAGCGACTGGGTTCCTACTTTCTGCCTGAGATTTTGCTCCCCTGATAATCGAAGACAGGTCCTCTCGCTTGTGAGGCGAGCGCGCTAACCATTATGCTATTGGACTCCACAATTTTCATACCCTCTCTTCGCTCTATCCCCCTCTTCCCTCTCAAAGCTGGTCATCATTCAGGCAGCAAAGAAACATGGTCAAAACTCCCTGAATGGATAGCAAGTACCAAGAAATCCTTCCAACACATATTGTGAGCGACAGTGCTATACATAAAGTGTGCAAGCGATTGCCACTATCTTCCAGACCAGATCCAGGGCACACAATGTTGTCCATGGCCAGGGTTTAAAGAAACAAGACCTCCAAGGTCTTCCTTGAATAATCTCCTACCAGCTGGTGAATATCAAAGAATATAATCACTGAGCTTTTGATTCATCTTCCTCAGTGTTACACAATTCTGTGCATTCACTCAATGAACTGGGAGAGGGGAAGAGGGAAAGAAACATTGTTCCACGTACTACAGAATGAGTTCATGTACTGGCACTGACACCCAAATTATACTGGAATGGGTAGTAAAAGAATAGTCACAAAACAGTTTTATTTCAACCAAAGAGATAACATCAAAACAGCATTTACTTAAGTAAACAACACGTTTACTTCAGTCGTGACTCATTTCACTTGGCAACATAGGAAAAGGAGTAGGCCATTTAACCAGTCAAGAAATCCCCAGATTTAACAGTCGTAAATCCCCAGTAATGAAATCTAAAGAAACCTAAAACCCAATTTACATTGTATGTAAGCAATATTAGGTCACTTTCTTAGAGATATTTAAATTAAAAAGAGCTATCAATTCTTAATAATCCTTGCATTTGATATAGTGCCCTATCACGTCACTGAGACATCTCAAAGTGAGATACAGGATATACTGTAAAGTGGTGTGACTGTGTGTATGCACACACAGCAGTACAATTTGTACAATGTCCCACAAACAGCCATGGACTGAGTGAACAATTAGATATAATTGAACAAAATAACAATGAATAAAGCACAGGGAACCAGGAACAAGCAATAAAAGCTATTTAGAGCCATAGAATAGAGACCAGCTGGTGTGGATTCAAACTCTAGTTTCAATGCATTAATCTCTACAACTCCCCGTTTCCCCAATTTAATATTTAAGATATTCTGTTATTGTAACCCAAAATAATGAAGCAGGGACATTTTAGCATCCAACTGAATTCAAATTGTATAAAAAAGATTAATATTATTACTTTTTAAACTCAGTCTCTAGAGCTTTCTAAATTTATTCCGTAACTCAAAGTATTCTGCTCTTCCACACAACTGAATGCATCCCATATTTCCAGCAAGATTATTCATAGATATTGTAAAACAGCAGATGTCCTTGTATGGTTCCCTGACATCTACTGTCACAGCCGTCAACTAGAATCATCACATTATTGTTCATTATCATTTGCTTCCTATTACTTAAATAAGTTATTATCCAATTTACATCAACTTTCTTAATCACTAGAGATTTCCTGTT